AGCTCCATAAAGGTGCAGAGCTAGAGCTGCTTGGAGCAGTGCCAGGACCACCAGCCAGCCCTGCTGGGCCTGGACTCTGCCTGCCAGATGGAGAGCCACCTGCACAAGGGGAGCACTGCCCACCATCACCCCTGGTAAAACCCCCCACCATGGCATCCGCATCCATGGGAGAACAGCCAGAGGCTGGGGTGCTGGGTGCCTGCCCCAAGCTCTGCCCCCTAGGTGCACGGTTCCCCACCCCAGGATAGTGCACAAAGGACACTGTACATAGTTTTCATGAAGAAGTTTTTGGGGTTTTTGTTTGTTTTTTTATTGTTGGTGGGTGGGTTGGGTAGTGGAGGGGCTCTGTTTGTTGAGGGGGAGTGGGGAGGGAGGGGATGCCTTGGTTGATGCGAGTGAAATAAAAACTTGCTCTTGTAAGGTATGTGTGCAGTGAGCATCTTGCTGGGGGAGGGCAAGGAGGATTGGGGGCCCCTGGCCAACAGTTCTGGCAAGCTAGAGAGCGGCCTGCAAGGGGAGATGGTCAGCCAGGGCCTCCCATACTCGGTGCCCCAGTCCCCATTAGTAGGTGCGCAGCTCTCCTGGGGCCTCAGCCTGAGGCCAGGTGATGCTCCCACTGCCAGAGGTCCTCTGCCCACCGCACCTCCACTGCACCTGCCCTGCCCAGACCTCACAGATGTTATGAAGCACACAGGCTGCTACAATGACACGGGGGAGATTGTCCTCAATGAACTCAAGGTAGGCGGTGAGGGTGTACCAGCAGCCCTCAAGCTGGCCAAAGAAGCACTCCACAAGGGCGTGGGTCTGGCCCAGGCACCAGTAAGTGGGCCTAGTGGGGATCCAGATGGCCAGTGTAGGGCTGCATCAGCCAAAGTAGGAGCAGGTAGGTAGGGTCCCCAATGAGGAGAAGCAGGACTATGACAGGGCCCAGCTGCAGGTCTAGCAGCCCCAGCAAAGCACCCACTCTCCACCCGTCCCACCCAGTCAGAACTCACGCACATGAATGTGCCATGGTGGTCCATGACTGCCTGCAGGACCACAGAATGAAATCCCCACTGGCTGTAGTAGGGCCGGTCTCCATGGGGCAGTCAGGGATGTGGGTCCCATCCAGGGCCCAGATACACTGGGGAAACCCCAGGGTATGGAACCTGCCACCACCTCCAGGGGGTCATGGACACAGAGCACTGTGTGCCCCAGCAAGTCCTGGAGGGCCCCACACACCTCCAAGATAGCTACCCTGGTGGTGGCCTTGCACATGGTAAACAGGTGTCTGACATACCAGAGGCTGGCGGGCATGGCCAGCTTCAGCAGGGCAAGGGCCAGGCGGGTGTCCGCAGGGAGGCCCAGGTGCATGCCACTATCCTGCCACTGCAAGTGGAGCTGGAGTTGCTGGAGGAGATCCTGGAAAATGGCCCAGTTTGGCCAGAATGAGTCCAGCCACTGCTCATCATCCCAGGTGTGCTGGACAGCATGCAGCCACCAGCCCTGGCTGGCATGGTGAGCCCAACCACAACAGGGCTGGAGGCCCAGGAGGGAAATGGTGGCCTTGGCAGTGGCATTCTGGAGCCCCCATCCATGTCCCTGCTGGCAGGAGTTGCTCAGTGGCAGTGGTGGCCCTAGGACAGCATGGTACAGGTAGACAGGCAGTTGCTGCATGTTGGGGAGCCAGGCAGGGCAAGATGGCCATGGGCCAGTACAGAGGCCACCAGAAGCCTGGAGTGCTGGTCATTGCTGCCAGGGACAGGAGCTGAAGCAGGCCTACTGCGGGAAGTCAGAGTAGTCAAGGAGAGAGCTGATGTGTGCCATCCCTACACTTGGCATGCTGCTCCTGGGCAAGGAAGAAGCTGGCCAGAGAGCAACCAGAGGGTCTGACTTTTAAAGAGGGCTGCTGGGGGCTGGCATCTGGAGCCTACAGCTCCCCCCAGTGGCAGCAGGGGCCCACTGAAGGGCTTCAGGATACTTGGTGCAAAGAGCAGCAAATCTTCTCCCTAATCCCTGCATGTGTAGATGCCTGCGTGAAAGCACTTATACCAAAGTAAACTTAGGCTGGATCAACGTATGTGTAGACATGCCTGCTCCGACTAAAATTAATGCCAAGTTACAAGTTACAGAATTTAATTGCTCCTCCAGCATAACTATTTTAAGAAAAATAAGTTGAAGACAGGACTTTTACAGGATCTTCCATAGCAAAAGGAAGATTCTGAGCAAAGGAGGTGAAGCAGATCACTTGAGTTGACTTGGGATATCGAGTCAGCAATGCATTCATGTTTTGAATCAGGCATTAAGAACAGACTTTTCACTTTGCTGAAGGACGTAGTACTGCAGAGGATTCAACTTACTGTCTAAGAAGTCACATATGGAAAACAGCCTTTTCAAGAGCCCTTTAAATCAAAATATGCGAAAACTAAAGTAGCCTGGCTTTGAAGAGTATAGGGCGTTAAATCCCCTTGGGCTGCTGCAAAGACTCATGGGGAAATATTTTTAGAATAAAGTTATTAATCAGATCACATATCTATTTGCTTCCATGACTGGGCTTCAAACTAGGTGAGGTGTTTAAAAGCCCCAGTGTTGTATTAGCTCAGATTCTTGTGTGTGTATTGTTATTAATCATATTTAGTATGTCCCAGGACTAACCAAAACTAGGTGCCATTGTGCTGGGCCTTGTAGAGTCCCTACTCCACAGAGTTTACAGTCTAAATTGATTTAAGTCATTTGCCAGCATCCAGAAAGCCCCAGCTGAAGTACACAAGGACTATGCTTGAGATGTGAATTACCAGAATTGGCAAAAGAGCAGACCTATCAGAAGTGAGAAATATCCCAAAGAAAGTGGCAGTCTTTCAAGTTTTCTGGATTGTCAGAAGTTTATGCATGCATACAACCATGCTTCAGTTTGAGTATGCAATTTTAAGAGTTACTGATTAAACAGCAAAAAATTGTAGATGAGAAAGAATGATTAAATGCAGTAATTCTTTCCCTTTTCTTCATCATTAGAGTTTTAGTACTGGAACAGCCCATCATGTCTTTTCTATCTGGCCACCAAACTAGCTTTATGGTGGCATTAATCAGCCCTTCTTGAAGGTTAAATGAGTCTAGTAGATCAGGTTTGTTTAACTGGCAGTCCATGAGCTGCATGGAGTCCTAAGGGGTTAACATTCAGACCCTGGGCTCCCCCCAGCTGCCACTACCTCCACCACTTCAGTGACTGGAGTGACCAGGCTCCCACTCCTTTTGGCTTCTGCTTTCTGCCTCGTCTTGGGGCTGTGTAGTAGGCACGTGCAACAGAGGGAAATCCAAGCTGCCCATAGCACAAAAGAGGGGCCCTGTACACAAGAGAGTCTGTGCCATCTGGGCTATGCGAGTGGCAGGGGAAGAGACACGCTGCCCAAGCAGTGTGCATGTGGCGAGAGAAAGCTGGGCGCCCAGGTCAGCAGGAGGAATGTCAGGGATCTACAGCCCGAGTGAAGTGTGGCCCCCACCATCCAGAAAATGAATAGCCCTGTAGTAGATTATCCTTATTCTCCTTGATCTCCTGCTTTTCACATTCCTCTCCAGTCCCTCTGGAGCTTCACTTAACCAAACATTCCTTAAATGCTTCTTAGGTTCCTTGTGTAACAAAAATAGTAGCACTGAGCACTGATATAATTCTTCATAGGATGAAAAAGTTGTAAATATATCCCAATCAAATCTTCTTCATTTCTGCCCTATTCTCTTAGTATTTTCACATTCCAACCATGGCTTTCTCCGTCTCCTAAGTCTTCCACTCGTATTTGCTCCCAGCGCTTTCCTTATACCCCTGACTTAATCATACCTCCTTTCTGAGGTCACCAGTATTTTCTCCCTCACCCATTTTCCTATCAGTTAACATTCACATCTTGCTTGTTCCCTTAGCTTGCAAACTAAGTCTCACTTTCCTCCCATCCTCTCCACAAATACAGGGCCTCCTCTGTCTCCAGGGAGATGGTTTGTCCATCATTTGGTTGAAAGGATAAATTCTCATTCTGAACTGTGACACTTTTCTTGAGATAGCTGGGCAACACATCTCACCTATGTTTCTTGTACACAAAAGGAAAAAAAATAAAAAACTTGCACATCATAATTGTATTAGTACATATAAGTCTTTCTGTACCAAAAAAGTTTTTACTTAGTAAATGGAAAAGTACATCAGGAAGAAATAAGAAGGAACTATATGCTGAAAGAAAACATGACTAACTTGAAAGAGAACAAACTGTTTGTGATATTAAGAAAAAAAAACTAATTAAAGAAATAACTACATTGATTTAAAATATACAGCACTAGTTATATACCTAGCAAACTTGAAGTTTGCTATAAATGTTTTATTTAAAGCAGCTGCTTTCTGCAAAGTACAATGCATATATTCCTCAATTGTGTAACCCATGAAATAAAAGGGATAGAGTTCTCAAAATAATTTATCAGCCATTGAAAAGGTCATTCCCCTTAAGCAATTAAAGAACAAATGTAAAAACCGGGGCTGGCAGTGTTAATCACAACAGAATCCCTAGGAAGGCACAGACTGAATTCAAGAGACTTGGCACTGCTGTGTTGGCATTATTCCTTCAGGAAAGAAAAGACCAACTCATCTCCAAGAAACTCTTTACTGTCCCTAAAAATTCACAGGCCAGAAGACATATTTCAAGATGGTAATTTACAGCTAAAACCCTGATTAAAAGGGGTAATTTAGACATATGGCAATAAAGATAGCAGTACCCAGTTGTATCAACCAGCACCAGAAACATTTTTAGCATCTTTTTTTGTCTTTTCCCTTTCCTCAGAAGTGTATATCTTCCAGTTTGGTTTATCTCTTATGCCCAGGCAGTGGATTTAAAGTTTTTGAATTGCAAAGCAGCACCGAAAATGTTTTCAGGAGATTCTCAGGCTCACAACCTTGGAAACTCACAATTCCTTCAATGCAGATGGATTATAATTATACAAAAGTCTTGTGAACTTTCTAAGCAGCAAAGAAAACAAAGCGTTCAACTTGCCTCATAATAACTTCGCACAGCATTGCAAAATGCTTCATCTGCTACAATTTGTGTCTCTCCATTCAGGAAGAGCTGGAAACGCTCCTTTAGTATTTGTAATTGCTGCTTGTTGAGCTGTGAGGGATAAAAAAAAGTAAAGGCAGTTAGCCTCCAAGTGAAAATGTTTGCCAACATTACATTACAACAGCATCTTTTTTGAGTATATGGACTAGAAAAGAGCTAGCTCCTCAAAGCACTGGCCCTCAATACACTGGCCAAGTACAACTGGCAAGGAGAAAGAGGCAGGGTGCAGCAGGTCTTAGACACCCACTACAACATCTGAGGCTTAACTTGCAACAGGCAGTGGTGGTTATTCCCACACATACTTGTAGTGATGACAATGGGAACAGAAGTGGATTCAGGATTTTGCAAGGTGGGTTTAGAAGCAGCAATAGGTATGGCAGGAGTGACTGCAGCCTTTGCTTCCAGCCCCCTCCTTTCTCCCACCGCTCCCCACCACACTGGGGTAGGCAGACCATGCTACAGCGGTAGCAGTGGGGGATTTTAAGTCCCTAAAGCAGGTAGAACTCACACCACCACCTCCTCCCTGCTAATGGATACATCCCCTCCTCTCTACCTGCTGCTGCTGTCCCTACTGTCTTGGGGGCAACGGGAGCTCCAGAGTTGCTTCAGCAGGGCTACATGGGGCCTGGGCTCAGTCTGGGGCAATGGCAGTGATGGTGGTTTGGCAGGTTCCCCCTCCCCAAACCTCCTCATGGACTGGTGCTGAAACATCGCAGGGGGAGGGAACCAGGCAGGGAGGGGGAACCCACCTGCTGTCACTGCTTCTGCCCCTGGCTGTGCCCAGCCCCAGTGCAGCCCAGCTGGAGTGGGACAGGAAATCCCTTTTCCCCTCGGGACAGAAGTAGGCTAGGGAGGGGAATGGGTGGCGAGGGGGGTAGAGATGTTCCTTTGAGCAAGGGAGGAATTGCTCCCCTCCATTCCCTCTTTGGGGACTGGGGCTGCTGCTCCTGCCACATGGTCAGAAAGGGCCATTGCACTCCCTCTGGATCCACTCCTGAATGGGAATATATTTGTGGGAGCAGGGGAAAGAGGGAACACCATAGCAGTCTGCAGCACAAAAGATGCCTTTCTGAAAAAGTAGTTCCAGCTTTAAAAGGCTGAAATTTAACCAAGCAACCTTTATATTTTAGGACAGACCCATGAACTACTATGCAATTTTTTTCCAAGAAGTTTGCCTATAGAAAACTGGTTCCTGCCAGCCATTTTTTTCCTGCTAGTGCACAGGGCAGGCCAAGGAATAGTGCGGAACACAGGAAATGCGATGTTCTCCGATATACCCTGAACTCAGATGAAGCAAGTGTTGTACAGTAAAGATATGCTTTAAATAATTGCTTTGTAACTACAGAGATGAAGCCATTTGTACGGGCCTTTCACCCCTTACAATCAGTTTTTATCAGGTTACCCGCTAGAAGATCTTCGGTGGTACAATCACAAGAAAGGAAAAAAAATCCTGATAGTTGCATACAGCCCAAAAGAGGACTCTGTTTTCAAAGGACTCATGGGCTCATGTAGAATTGACCCATAGATAAAGCAGTCATGGAATACTATAATCCTCAGCTGCAAGGGATTCCACATGGATGGATGTGAGTTCCAAAATGTCTTTGAGGTTATCTCACATGGGAAAAGTTAGAATGGGACATCTCAAAATAGGAGTACAAACATTTACAATATTCAGATTTTTGGGGGTTTCATGTAGTCATTTCAAATAGTGGCATCATATTAAGCTTTTAAGGGTAAAACTGAGAAATTTATTTATCCTATTTTTAATTCTACAAGTTAATCTGAAGTTTTACCAGGCTAGACTTTGACTGAAATGTCTAACAACACTGTATGACAGGACATTTATTTAAAAAAGTAATTTTAATATAATTTTAAAAGCATTTTAATATCATATTTTAATACAAACCAGCCATATTTTTCCACTCTAAACAAATATGCTGTTTCCAGAAATACTAAATGGAGAAAGAGGTAAGCATTTAAAAACACTTCATAAAAATCAGTTTAACTTGTTAACACTGCTAATAAAAAAGTTACTGTAAATAGAAAAAGAACAAACTTTTCTGCAGTGTCACTGGCACAGTCATTGTGAGGTCAATGGTTTTTAAAATATTGTAATTGAAAGAAATGAACTTGATTAAACTGACAGTCTATTTTAGAGAGAGTTTTTTTCTTTTTTTAAACCCTATTATAGTACCAGTGGGAATTTTAAATCCCTTTATGATAGATGAGGTATAAGCTGCAGCACAAAATTCCTCAAATATTTAACAGGCTCCATAACTTGCATGCTAAACCTGTAGCACTTTGCTGCAATATTCACCTCCAAATTGCATCTAAAAGCCAAATGTGCTATTTGCTATCCTTCCATTAGAGAGACAACACAAACTTCGCTAATATGTGAATCTCTAAATAGGATAAACCCTGAAAGGGCAGTGATGTATAGAAATTAAGAAGCACCACTGGAAAAGCTACAGAGCTATGCAATACAACCAAAGAAAAGTAACAGTTATCAGCGCTACCCCTTTCCAGGGCTGTCAGCAGGGGAGGGAGGAGAAAGGGAGCATCATGGAGCTGCTGGCTGGATTTTGCAGAGCCGGCATCGGAGAAAAAGGTGCGGTAGAATGGAGCCCCCTTGGATTGGGCCCCCCTGACTTGTGTAAGCGCCCTAAGTGATTATCAGTATATGAACTTCAGCAGATGTCAAAGCAAACAAAGACCACTGGGGGAAGGAGGTTCAACACAGACTTAAAGTTTACTACTGAAGGTTTTTCTACCTGCAGTGCATGGTTTCACCCCACATACACTGCTGATTAACAAAAATATTCATCATGTGACTCAATAGTAGTACTCCATTCACCCATCGTAAAAAAATATCATAAATTGAAATACGTTCCTCAAACTAACTCTCTTACCTCACACACAGGTGGTGTTAAGAGATTCAACAGAATCTCATATCAAATTCTAATATATGAAAAACAACCTCCCTGGTTTCCTCTAATATTATGCATAACCTTTCAAAATTTTTCCTAAGCAAACTGAAAGAAGCTGAAATGTATGAAAATACAAAGCATAAGTTATGTTTATTTGAATGTAAATTAATGCATGTTGTACTGTTTTGCAAGGATTTAAGATAGTTATCTGTTTTCACAGACAATATGCCACCATTGCTAAACAAACAGCTTGTCTGTTCTACAGAATATTCAGATCTGTTACTAAAACTTGTGCGCTTTCTGCCAAAACAATTATGAAATTGTTTGTCATGCATACAAACTTTATTCTTTAGCTGCATTTCCTGCTTTCTAACTACATATCAAACAAAATGTTATGAATGAAGCCTTGTAATATACATTTGTTTCTGGCTTTATCAGGTCTCTGTTTATAAAAGGCAATCCAACATGTTATGCAAAAAACATTTTTTAAGGGGAAAAAAAAAGGAGTTAATGAATGCCAAAGCAATGTATTAATACTTTAGGTGGCAGTTTTAAAGGCTTACCAGCATTTGAGCATTGTGGGGTTTTGTTTCGCGAAGGGAGGATTGATTTGGGGGTTATTTAGTTGAGTTATCCAAGTTATTTGTACTTTTAATGGGGAAATTAAAAAAATTAAAAAGAATTGTTCTTAAGTGAATGAACTGTTATTTCCACTCTGTGGGTTGTCTGTTTGTTGTAAGCTGTTCTGAGCCCTTTAGAGAGAGTGGAATATAAATCTAAAAAATAAATAATGTAACTAAATTAGAAAAATTATAAAGCATCCTTTTAGCACTGAGACTAGCATATTTCAATAAATGTTAATAGCTCATCTTGCAAGCAGAGATGTAATTGAACCAGATGCCAAAAAACATAATTTATATTATTCCACAGTGTAATGTAAATCCTTTGCCACAGTACATACCTCAGAAAACTGAGGTTTCTGTATGCTTCACTGTACTTCTCGTGTCCTATTTCAAGATGCTAACTTACATGTATAAATGAACATAATCACAAGCTTTAAAAATATATATATAACAAAGAATGGCAGTGAGAGACAGGCAGAAAAGAGGAGAGACATAAGTGATAGAAACCAGAGAAAGAAAAGATTAAGGAGAAAGAAATTGGGATTTTTTTAAAAATCTCTTCTTTGTCAATGTAGACATGTACTATTAAACCTTCTTCGCTTTAATAAATGGCAAACATAATGGTTGTGTATTCATGTCACTCCCACACAAGTGCTTCAAACTTTACTAAAATTTTTGTTTTGTTTTGTTTTTACTTTTTTCCCCATGAGAGCATAGATAAACCTGGAAGGGAGGGATGGGGAGGAGTGCATTTTTAGGAGGCTGAGCAAAATATCCCCCTTCTGGTTGCTGCTCCAATGTTCCACACCAGCAATTCTCAAACAGGGTGTCGCAGCACCACCACCACCACTTGCCAGTTTGTACATGGGGTATAATCTGTGTAGAGTGATGCAGGTTTTCTTAAATGAGATGTTTTAGAAGAATATACCATACTTGCAAATTTGAAAAACTTTGCCTTTGGTATGAGTCATGGGCGACTAGTGCCTCCTGAGTGCCAGCAGCCAGACAGCGACCGGGCGGTGGTGGGGTGCCACCATGGCCAATCGAGATGACCTGGAGGCATAAGCGGGGCACCCAGAAGGAAGTGCCAGCGGTGCTTCTCCTGGCACCCCCACTCCCCAGCCAGCACTCACAGGGTGGGGCACCAGTGCTCCCACCTGCCTCACCACTATGCCCAAGCAGGGAGCACTGGCTGTCAGGGGGTGCACATGCACCCCCTACGCATCGCCACTGGTATGAATACAGCTGTATTGCATCGTTGTTGTTTTTATCAATTGCTATACATGTCTGTGTGTTTCACAAACCTTAGGGGTCCCTCTCAGGATGCTGCACGCAACAGCACTGTTGGGTGTGCAAATACCTACACATGATTCCCCAGGTAAACCCAGAAATTTCAAATAGGAATCCATAGTGCTAGAAACATTCTGACTTGCTGTGGTCTGAGCTCTTTGTAACAGAGTTCTATTATTTTTCCATGGTGAAAAATGAATGAAAGCTAAGA